TTCAGGAACGAGTCCATGACGAGGACACCGCCGGTGACGCCTTGGTCATAGCCAAAGAAGATACCGCCGAGGGACGCAAAGACGCAGACGACGATCGCGTACGTGCGGGAGCCTTCGGTCGGTGCATCGTGGGCACCGCCGCTCGGGAGGATGGCAACACCACCAGCCATAGTGAATGGACCGCTTGAGCTGGAAAAGGCAAAAGGAAAAGTGAGGTTGCAGCTTGAGCTTGTGCAAGTGCATGGGTGCGTGGGCAACTTCAACATCGTGGCCACCTGGTGGCGAAACATTGCACTTGGCCATGTGGTTTGTTCGCCGCAAAAGACGGAGCACCGTCACTTTTCAGCACCGACACCTTCGCTTTGTGTAGCGCAAGCAGCTCTGTCGACCGCTGCGGTTGGCAGCAATACGAGCTGGCGGGTGAGAGGTCGGAAGGCAGCGACGAGCGTACCCTCCATGTATCCGCCCTCCGAGTATCTTTGGCCGTAAATTCCGTGCCGGAACCAGATTCTGGGCTAAATCCAGCTGATGCTTCGTATTTGTGCTTGCACGATATGCAAGAAGTCCCACGCACTGGACTAATACTAAGCAAGGACGGGAACAAGCAGGGTCAGCTCGTTCTTGCCGCCTCTGCCACGTGATGGCCGGCGTTATCAGCTTCCGTCCTTCGCACTGCCTGCCTTGATGAGCCTTGATGAGGTGACGTTGGGGGCGGTCGTATTCACACCCGGCAGCACGCCAGCAGCACCTACTACGGTGGCGACCACCCATTTGTCGTGGTCGTAACCGGTTCGGCTTGCAGGTTCAATTATTTTTGTCGCCAACGAAGAAAGGACGGGGCGACGAACGCGGAATACCACTCTCGGCTCGGACTCGGAGCCGTCGTTCTTGAACTGTGCGCGACAAGCCATCGTTCCAGGCTGTGTCAAACGACCCATCCGTTTGACCCATTTGACCCATTTCGCCGCATGGTGGCCGACGGCGGACGCCAAAAAACGAACAACTTCAACGTTGAAGTTGGCGCGATCCTTCCGATTTCGAACAAGCGCGCCAAAAGGCGCGTCCAAGCGGCGCCGGATCCAAAGCGTCGCGCTCGCCACGACGCTGAGGCTGAAGCATTTGCGAATCGTGCTCGGCCTCGTCGGTGCTACCAGCTCGTCGAAGAAAACAGAGAACCATGGCCGGTGGTATTGCGATGCTCCCGAGCGGCGGTGCCCACGATGCACCGACCGAAGGCTCCCGCACGTACGCGATCGTCGTCTGCGTCTTTGCGTCCCTCGGCGGTATCTTCTTTGGCTATGACCAAGGCGTCACCGGCGGTGTCCTCGTCATGGATTCGTTTCTGAATGATTTTTGCGTCGACTACGACGGCAACTCGTACACGAACTGCACGGCCGCCTCGGCCGACCTCCCGGACAACTGGTCGACCTTTACGACCTTGTACAACGTGCTCTACTACATTGGCTGCATCTTTGGTGCGTACCTCGGCGGCTACATTGCCGACAAGTACGGCCGCCGCGCGACCATCTTCTCGGCCGGTGTCCTCTTCTGCGCCGGCACGCTCATGCTCGTCCTCACCAACAAGGGCAACCACACGCTCTCG